GCTAATAGAGCTCAAAAGCTACTTTTTAAATGGAAATTTGGGGGGGCCGTCTTATGCACCCCGACGCCTTATAGGCTGAGATATACGGTAATGTTTCAAAAAAATTCTTTAAATGAAAAACCAATATTCATACCTTAATAGATTTTTTCTCATTGACAAAACTTCTAATTGAGCCGCTAGCCTCTTGTGCTCCTCCACAGTATGGATATCTTGCTGGTCTTCTTGTGATGAAGTGAATGCTGTGGGGAGTCCAGATAAGAAGGCCTCCGTCTCCCCCAGTTGATGGCCTGTTAACACCTCTCCCTTCGACATAAGTTCTTCATACCTGGTAGTGGTACAGTACAGTAAAACAAAGATTTATTCTAAAGTGCCAGCATGAAATTATGGCATTTACTCACATATCTCTAGAGACAACTGACAAAGCACAAACTAATATTTGGCTTTAATTTTTAATCATGACTCTATAAAGACAACTGGCAAAACTCAAAATAATATTGCACTAAAATATATTTCCTTTGACCTAGTATATTTTTTAAGAAGTGGCTAATGTTACAGTGTTGGAACACTGCTATCTGGGAGCAACCAGTTATGTTATGTTATGTTCCAAGTTGTTTACGTTTTTAAGTAATAATATTATCCTCTGCAATATGAAGTGATTAATCTTATGACATCCGAATGTCATGGCAATAAAGTAACACAGAAATTACTGATAGCAATGGATCTTTTTTTCTCTAGTGCCAAGTCATTTAGTCTGATATCATAACACTATCCACTGGCAATTCTCTACATAAAGTCCATTACAGGAATACAGTGTTATCTCCATCAGCCGGAACAATTGATGCAGAGCATTTCCAGGTAACGAGGCAACTCTCTCAAAGACAGGAAAAAATCCCTCATCCCCAGAATTTTCCGGGTAACAGAAAATTTTTCTCAAAAGTTCTAGAAATTGTCCATTACAATATCTCTCGAACCCGAAAAAATAGCCCTCATTCACGGAATTTTCCAGGTACGATACTGCAAGAATTTTCTCGGAATTTACAGAAAATGCGCCTGTCTTTCATCTATCAATCCCGGAAAAAACTCCCCCAGCCCAGGAATTTTCCGGAAAATGCACTCCTCGGAAAATCATTCCCAAAGCTGTAATTTTCCGGAAAATTACGGCTTTGGGAACAATTTTCCGAAAAAAAATTCAATTCCGGCTATCGGAGAGTTCTGGGTTTGAGGGATTACGGCTAACAGAGATATCACACCTCACTATTTGCAACTCCGCTTATCCGCAATTGCTATTTTAACTCCCTATTCGATAGTCTCAAAGTGTATTAAAATGGTTGCCACTCTTGTGTAACGAGGATGGCCGGCCCTAGGGCCACCAAGGCGTGAATTTGATAAGGTGTAGAAGCTGTCGCCACCACAACAACCACACAGTAAGTCAGTGGTACTCATTGCGCGGCTCGCAACGACTTAATGTGCAGCTCTCGAAAAAAAAAATTACTTATACAGTGGTCCCTCGGTTAACGGACACAATTCGTACCAGAAGGTCGTTTTTTAACCGAAAATTTTGTTAACCAAAACCATTGTTTCAATGGGATTTGGGGTAATTGGTTCCAGCTCACCGAAAATTATATACAAAGTAAAAATAAATGCAGTAAAGTACACTTACTTTGAGGTGTGTATGTAGAAGGCTCCTGGTTGATGATGAGGATGGGAATTAGAAGTGGAGGTGGAAGAGAAGGGAGAAGAGAAGGAAATGGGGGTGGAAGAGAAATCACCCCATGCTTCATGCCGTCATTTCACCCATAAAATTTTAAGTTCACTAGGTGTAATTCAAGATTATTTTCTTTAAATCAACACAGCACTGCACTATATATTGTCAACAAGTAAAATAAATTTCAGGATGACCAATAATTGTACTGTAAAAATGTAAAAATAGTTTATGTTCAAGAGAGTCACAAGCAAGATGTTACCTCCACTGACCAGAGGTACAAACTGACGCCTTGCTGGGTGAATCAAGTGACTGATTGGCGCACCAAAAATTAATTTTCCTGTACTGCAATTATGTTAAATATGTGTTAAAATGACTAAAAATTCAATATAAAACTTGGAAAATTATTGAATAGAACAACCTTCTTGATATTTACTCAAATGGGAATAAATTTAAGCCCTAGAACCGATTACTGTATTGGCGGACTAATATTCCAGCTGGTGAGCAAGCAAAAACATGTTGACATGATTTCCTAAAAATTTTGTTAACCAAATTTTTGTTCGTTAACCGAATTTAATATTCTTATGGAACGTAATTCGTTAACTGAGGCGTTCGTTAACCGAGGGATCACTGTACAGTAATATCTCCGTTAGCCGGAATCCCTCAAACCCGGAAGTCTCCAATAGCCGGAAATGAAATTAGCTTGGGAAAGCATTCCAAAAGCCTGAATTAAAAAAAAATTCCGGCTTTGGGAAAACATTTTCTGAGGTCGAAAATCGAGAGCATACTGTATTCTACAAATGTCTTGAATAAAGACGAAAGCTCAAGTATTTTGGGGAGGGACCAGACCTGACTCAATGTCAGGTGGAGGAAGGGTGGGGAATTAGTGGTCTCATATTACAGTGGTCTCTCGGTTAACGAACACAATTCGTTCCACAGAGTCGTTCGTTAACCGAGGGACCACTGTATTATCAATATGTTAACTAAATTTCAGAATGACCAATAATTTTAATGTAAAAATGCAAAAATATTCAAGAGATCAACAAACTCGATGTTCACTCCACTGTAAACAAAGTTAAACTGAGAAGCGTTGGTGGGCGATTTGATCAGCTGCAGGTCACACAAAAACTGTTCCCTGTACTGTATATATTATCAATATGTTAACTAAATTTCAGAATGACCAATAATTTTAATATAAAAAATGCAAAAACATTTAAGAGCACAACTTTCTTGATATTTACTCCACTGGAAACGAATGTAAACATAGACCAATTACTGTATTGGCGGACTAGCCGATCAGCTGATGCGCACAACAAAGCATGTTTCTTGTAAGGCTGTCATTAATCGAAGTTTGTTTTTTAATGGAACTGAAAATCCTTATGGGAGCTAATTCGTTAACAGAAATTTCATTAATTGAACCTTTCGTTAATCGAGCAACTACTGTACAGTAGAGTGGGTCGATTTTACCTTTTTTTTTTATATCCATATTCTAATAGAGACCAAAAGTGGCTCATGCATGAGAAAATAGCCTCTGCAAAATCTGCCCGCGGCAGAGCGATGAAAATCATATTTTAGTAGTCAAAAACGTATTTTTCTTATAATTTTTTAAATATTTCAATATGCATCAAAATTATTCCTAATAACTATAAAGTTGATGAAAAAGACCTCATATGATCGTATTTCCAAGCGCGTTGTCCTACATTAATATCTTTTGCCCCCGTCAACATCAAATGTTGTGAAATTAGGTAATTTATATACTCCATATTTTCAGATCGGCTCTTTGTCTTAAATAATGCATTTATATATTTCCCATAGCATTTTTATCATTGCTTAGGCATGAAATAACACCCGCAAAATTTTATGACTACCGTATATCACGGCCTATAAGGCGGCGGGGTGCATAAGACGCCCCCCCCAAATTTCCATTTAAAAAGTAGCTTTTGAGCTCTATTTGCTGTATAAGACCAGTACCCCAAATGTGACACTTACCCACTGACTCAGTAGTCCTTTACCAACCATCCTTGATTTTTTAAAATAAGGCCAATTCACTTCAAGTAATGTCATCAAATTATACCCGCTGGTGTAGTGTAAACACTAGTGACGTCACTGAAGCGTGGTGGGAGTGTTCCCTCGTCTCGGTGGTGTGACTATTTATACAACATGTGGTTCAACAGCAACCACCGTATTCTAATTGTGGTGTTTCATTAGGATTTGAGTGAAAAAGGTTACCAGTATGTACTTACTACATACATTTATTACACATATATATATATATATATATATATATATATATATATATATATATATATATATATATATATATATATATATATATATATATATATATATATATATATATATATATATATATATATATATATACTGAATATACTATGTACAAAAAATGAATGTTCAATGAATTATTTATGGTGCATTAGGGTACTGGTCACTTCAAATGGGCTATAAATAGCTTGTTATCTCCCCTCCATCTCACCCTGAGCCAGACGGAAGGGTCTTGGTAAATAACATGTTTGCTTATTTTCCATTTACTTTAAATAGATTTACCGAATTATTTGTTTTATTTATTTATTTATAATATACTGTAATATATTAAACACACTGTAATTATTTTCTTTAATTTATAAACTGTTTTGCGACAAAGGAATGTTCTCCAGTAGTGTTTCATTAGGATTTGAGTGAAAAAATATTACGTACTTACACAATTGTTCCTCTTACTTTGACAACACAACATACATACAGTATATTATTTCTCAGTTTTGATCTTTTTTTTTAATTTTTGTATTTATTTATAGTTAGTTACTTAAAATAAGGCCAATTCACTTCAAGTAATGGCATCAAATATTACCAGCTGGAGTAGTGTAAACACTAGTGACATCACTTGAGCGTCTGTAATTAACCGTCGATAGTTTCAAGAATTAATGCACTTTTCCTTTCTTGTCTCCTCACTGGCAAATGGGGGGGGGCGTGGGGAGGGGTGTGTGATGATAGCTGTGTTTATTACAGGGGTATAAATCTCTTTTACGGTATGTTAGACAGGTTTATAATACATTTTTATTATTTTAATATACCGGTAATCTTAATTTGAATCCAGCTTGCCAAACGTAAGTTTCAGTATAAAATAATTAGTGGTAAGACCTTGTGAGTGGCTTACGATGTTTCCATCACCACTCTTGACACACTAAACCACAATATTTAAGAGGTAAGAATTTTAAACTTGGTGGTTTAGACGACCCCCTAACTTTGGGCAGATTTTTTTAATGTTCAAATTTCGTCTTATAGGCCGTGATATACGGTAGGGTAATATCTTCTAGCTGTCCCCGTGAAAAGTCTGAAATGTGGATTATAATTACGTTAATGCGTTGTTATAAGTCCGACAAGTATAAAGTACAGCTCCTCGCTTGCTAATTTTATAAAATTAGCAACCCAGAACTCACCACGAGACGTTGGCTCCACGTCGAGTTCCACCCTATCCAGCCCAACCACCCTTCCTTTGGCTGCATGTTGATTTACATGTGGTAATCTTTCTTAGAATCAAATCGTGAAATTTTTGTTCGGGAGTGAAGACGGGAGCGGATGAATCGGTCCCTCTCTTCTATTCCACT